TGGATTGTACCTTGCCAACATACACAACACAGTTCTGTGCATCATTTTGGGGACACGTGGACCAACAAAGCAGCAGAAAACAGGAGAAGATAACAGGTTTTGGCAGCAAAAGAGTCTCAGGCCTAGACCCAGACCCAGACCACAAGTACCTTCCTCTCCTAGCGGAGGGAGCGATAGCAAAGCCGCGGTCGGTACGTGCAATCTCTGGGGCTGATTGCTGGCGAGTCACCACCGGTCACGTAAGCTGCAAAGCAAACAAGGCATGGCTGAATCACCGAGCGGGGAGCAGGCAGGTTCAGGGCCAGGTCCCAGGTACAGAGGACAACGAGTGCAGACAGGCAAAGGTAAAGCAGAAGTTGAAGGGAATACAGTAACAAACTCCCCAGTGCCTCCCTGCTGCAAAGCCTGCAGACACCACATTACATCCCAGCGTAAAAGGTCCTTGGCAGAACACAACTCGCTTGGGGCCATTCATATTTCTCAGTTTTTAGAAATACCAACAATCCTCTGACATCTTCCAAAAGGTTTTGACCTCCTGTTCCTGACCCAAATTAGTATCCAAAAACCAAGGCTTGTGGCAGAGGTCCACACCTGGCATATGTGACTATCCAGCGCTGCCGGGACAGAGAGGCTCGTCAGCACTTATTTCCTCCGTCCACACCAAGGTAATATCCCTGCCCAGTGCCAGACAGGACTGCCATTACTACTGCTGCCTCACTGCGGGCCGCTGACTTGCTCTAGCCCCTCTCCCACTTCTTCGATAAGCAAAAATGAAGTTCATCTTTAGAAATCTGCAGAAAACTAGCGAGTGGTGAATCACGCTTCGCCCTGCAGCTGACCTCGGTTCTACCTTAGGTCTTCCATTCTGCAAGGTCGCTTCTGAATTAGTTTTCTTCCTCAAGTCCTTTGAAATTCTGCTGGAGATAAACCAAGATGCTTTTGGGTTAGAAAATATTTCTGGTGGGTCATCAAGTCCATCCCTCAGCTAATGGAAGCCATGCCCAGAACATCAAATACAAAGCCTGATTTTGAAAAAAAGGATTGCTGATGACCTCTGTTGAAAGTATTGATTTTCTTCCTGGTCGCCCCGCATTTTCATTGAAAAGAGGTTTTCTCTCTCTCCCTTTTTTTTTTTTTTATTAAAGTAAGCAACGCATTCCACAGGCCTGAAAAGAGAATTTTTTCCTTGACAATTGAACTGAACATTAAATGAAATCTGCAAAGCCATTTTTCCTCTGTACAATCAAAAGCTGACAGAAGGGGAAGCAGGGAGAGTGCATAAAGGAAAAACATGAGCAAGCTGAGGGAAAAAGTGTAAAACAATCATCCTGAATCAGCTCCAAGCTGCTCTAATGGAATTAGGGTCACCCTGACAGAAACACAGGCACATCACAGAGAAAATTTAATAATTTCTTCACCGCAGTCTGCAAAAGCAATAGAGGTTTGGAAAGTACTTTCTGCCAAATTAGCACTTCTATATATAATGCTCACGTGTCCCTTTTTTGCTCACCTGTACCTGGTACTATCTCGGCAGACAGCGCTGTGTTAATGTTGACCCTATTCCTTTCATAGCAAGGGAGTCCGAATGAAACCTCTCCTCTGAAACAATGCCTTATGCTTAACCTCTGCACGCCCCCCAAACTCAGCACATCTCCTGTGAACTCAGTGCTGGGTATCGCACTAATTCCACCGTGCAATACATATGCAATCTGCTTCATCTTGCCCGCTAATGTCTAGCTATGTGCCAGCTGCCTAATTGTCAAGACGCTACGGTGGCAGCACCGAAATCTGTTGCGACAACAACGGTGGAACAAAGACACGTTCGACAGGGAAGCCCTGGATCCGAGCGCTCCAAAGCAACCTCCAAACCGCGCGAGAGCTGGCTGTCAGACGTGGCCACAGCCCTCTGCCCGCCAGGACTTGCTGCTGATCGCACAGACTGAGGGAAAGCATCTAGACACCGTGATAAACCTATTTTCCCTGCTCCGTCACCTTTAATCAGAGGAGCGGGGAGCTCTCAGCAGCCCGGAGCCTGGCACTGCTGCACAGGGAGGGGAGAGGACAGAGAGGCCACACCACGGCCCAGCCCAGATTCAAACCCACGGGAGGGATTCTCGTTTCCCTTCAAGACACCACCACGGCACAGGCCACCCTGTTCTGCACGGCTCCCACCCTAGGACAACGGGGTCTGACACAAAGGCCACAATCTCCACCTCCAGGTTAGGCATCCCTTCGCTGGGAACATCACTGCTTCTCCGGGCCAGGTCAGCTGGGCACAACGGAGCGAGGGAGCCGCCGACTTTGTGCACACTCCCTCCGGCCCACAAAGCGGGCAAGCCACACCGGGTCGTTCCCAGAGCGTCACCCGGGGCCCGAGAAAGCAGCAATGGGCAGAAGCAATCTGCAGTGACCAACTCTATGTTGGAGCCAGCTCTTGGTTAAAAAACTGCTGGCTGTGGAGGCTTCAAAGGTCACCCAGGTCACAGCTCTATCGACCTACGTGCCAAAAACCCAGAACTAACCCCGTGGTTTTGGGCCTGAGAAAAGGGGAGGCCTCTCGAAAGAGACCGTGCTGCACGACTGGGTGCTAGCCCGGGCCTAGCACTGGGGCTGCAAAGCCAAGCGCGCCTGGGTCCACTTAACCCTGCAGGAGTGACATGCCCCTGGCCCTGGAAACAGCCCGAGACTCCGCACACATTTTGGACCCCAGAGAGCAATGCTCTTTGTCCTTTCTGGCAGGGCAGGGCTGATAATCCTCTGGGAACTCAGGCTCAAAGGCTTAGCGCAGCGACCGGATCTGGTGGGGCCCCATGTCATACAGTGGGGATGGGGCCGTGGCCTGGCCCCATCCAGGCCCTGCGAGGAGGGCGGATCTGTGACCCAGCCCCCAATTTGGGGCCTGGGGCTAGGGGTGACTTGGCCCCAACACGTCCCATGGGAGGAAGGGGGCATGATGTAGCCCCAACCTAGCCAGGGAGGCTGGCCTGGCCCCAAACCAGCTGTGCAAGAGAGGAGAGGTGGCCAGGCCCCACAGAAGCCAGGGGTTGAGGCTGGCCACTGACCTGGCTGTGCCAGGGGCGGTTGTTGTCCAGCTCAGACCTGCCCCGTGGGCTTGGGATTTTGGCAGCAGGGAAGGGAAGGGTGGCAGTACTGCCATTGCTCCCCTGCTGCCAAATCTCCTAACCCAAGAGGGGCCAGATCCCACGGCTCCGCAGGCTGGAGGTTGAGCACCCCTGGCTTAGAGGATGAAGCCTGCACCCCTGTATTGCCTGGCTCCGAAAGACTCAGATTCCCTTGGACAGAACAAGCTGAGCGAACGGTCTCCAGCCAGCGGTGCCCAGGAGAAAGGACCGGAGTCACGACACTCCCACCTGGCCCGGGCAGAGAGACCCCGCCATCAACACACGTTCCTCCAGCCCCTGCAGAAGTGTGACAGCTGACCAAAAGGACTTGTCTCCCCTCCTGCTCCCTTCCACTCTCCCTCAGCTGATCTCCATCACGTCCGACCCAGTCTGGATCTCCGTCTGGCACAAAACGATGCAATGCCCCCTCCCAGGCTCCATCAAGTCTCCTGGTGACGTTTGTAAACCTGCAGCTTAGCTACAAGCCTGGTGACAACCTGAACCCCAGAAAAGAGGCAGGAAAGTAGCTGGGGATGGCAACGGGAAGCAGACAATGTCAGCAGGCCCCGACACTCGCAGGCTCTGGGCACCTGCAGCTCCCAGCGCCTTCACCAGGAGATGGATCTGTGTACAGAGCCCCTGGCAGGAATCAGCAGCAGCCTGAGCTGCGCAGGCACATGAAAGGGCCCCATGGCGCACACGTATGCCCATCCGTCAGCCCAAGCACCTCTCTCACTCTCCAGCACCTGCCCTGACCAATGCTGCTTCCGGAGAACAGCAGGGACCGAACTCCTTAATGACCTGTGCCTGCCATGCTCAAAAACCTGTGCTCCAGCTTCGTGATGGGATTACCAGCAGCGTACAACTTCACAGCACAGGTATGAGGAAGGGAAGGCCATCCCAGTTTGAAAATGTAAGCAAGCAGGCAGCAGGTGACTTGGGATATGCCCTGGATACAAGGAGATGAGGAGGGAGGGCACCTGTCATCAGAAGAGAGGGAGCTGCCTTGCTTCAGATACAGCCCCACAGATACCTTGGACTAGCCCCAGCAAACGTGGACGGCTGAATTATGAGAAGCAAGGCTGAATAATGAGTCTGTGAGGCTTTCTGCATGATGCATAATTCATTTGCTAGAGAACTCCTGCTTTAAAGCATTTCCAGTAGCCCACTGTTAGCCACGTCTGCCCTCCTCCCCACTGCATGAGGGCTTTCCATTCACTGCTTGCTCACTTCCCTGGGCTGGGCTAATCACGGCTGGACATGGCGGCTGCACACGAGTGTCAGCACAACAGAGATGGACGCAGGTTCAGGACAAGGCAACGTGGCACTGAAATATTCTCGTCCTGTCCGACTGCCATGCGAGTCTGGAAACGCAACGTATGACAGGGAAGCGGAGCTTATGCTGTCCTCTGGCAGGTCTTGTGAAGCCAGCTGACCTCAGAGGTGCAGCTTCAGTAACGAGGAGACGGAGGCTTGGTGCAGATGAAAGAACAGGGAAATTAAAACCATGAAGAATCCCAGCACCCTCCCCAGCAAAAAATGCAGTGTAGCCAAGTCTTGCTAATGGAGTCAAGCCCAAGGTTTCAATCTTGTAGCCATGAAACATCGTGCTCCCCTTGGAGGGCATCGCTCTCATAAGCAGTTTGTTTTTCAAAAGCATGGACCAGGACCACAGCTTTTTCATCTTGCCCCCCAGCTTCCTCAGCCCCGCTACACCCTATTTATCTGTATGAAGCGCCTGGCAACACAAGATCACAAGGCTCCCTTTCCCCGGCTGTTCCCTTGCTGCACATGCGGCAGGCCAAGGGCATTCAATGGTACATGAAAGCAAGTTCTTAATATTTCTGAGGTCTTGGAAAGGGTTTGAAGGTTACTTACTGTCTGCCCCAGCCGAAGGCATCAAGCAGCACAGAACTACTGCTGGCACGACGAATACTGGGACGCAGAAGTTAGGCACCATATTCCAAAGCGGAGCAATTCCTCTCGAGTCAGGGACAAGGGGTCAGTACATCCAGGGTTACAGATGCAGACTTACTCCTGCAAGCCAAGAAAGAAGGAAACATCAAATACTTTCTGTGCCAAGCCAGAAGGTCAAACAAGGGCCTCCCCCCTGCATCCCGCCCCACGATCAGTCTCAACCCCACCACCCAGAGTTTTTAAAGAAGGCAGAACCATTTTCCAATTTGGCTGCACGACGTTGATGGAGCTACAGTGAAGCAACAAATGTATCCAGGGCTACGTACCCTGCCGGCCTGCTCCGGCCCCGTATTAAAGCGTGACCTATGAGGTCTAAAGACCCTTGCGAAGCAAAGCGTGCGCATCAGATGCGTTACCCCATTTGAACTGGGATAACCCACAGCGCTCCCAGCCATTTTGGAGGAGGGCTCAAGCCCTGACAACATAGGTACGAGGGCATCCTGCCTTCTGGGGCTTGGGGAGTTTCTGGCACTTTCCTAAGAGCTACCAATACCGACACGTCTTGGCGACGGTTACTGCTGCATTTCGGGGGCATGCTAACTCCTAACAGAAACAAAAGTGTTCAGCGAATGCCAGCAGCGACGGTGCTCAGGGAAACCTGTGGGAAATCTCAGGAGAACCCACCAAGGCAAATATTTACATCATACCGTACTACCAAGTAGTAGATGCTGCTGCTTCTTCCCTCTGTTACTATATCGACACAGGAAATCTCTGCGCATGTTAGATCATCGTACAATGCAAAATCTTTATTTATGTAGCGCCTTCTACAGCCAAGACAGCTGAGAGTACTTTACAAAATAACCTAGTTCTCTCCTCCGTGCAGAGAGAATAGAATACTGATCATCCCTTTTTTTCCTTTTTCTTTTGAAATTTCATGTCTTGGGCCAAATCAGTCCCAACTTCTATCAACTGAGCAGAGCTCACTCATTCAAGCCTGTATGGCACTACCACCGGCAAGTATCCTGCCACCCAGACTCTTCATCCTGGGGCTTTGGATACTCCCATCCTGCTCCACCACCTGAATTAAAATGCAACGCCAACCCTGCTCAGCCGCCAGAACCTGCACGCTGACACAGAGGCCGACATCCAACTTCCTTTCCGTGCTGCTCCCACCCCCAAATCCTCGTTCGTCTCCCCCCGAAGAGTTCCTAAAATGCCATTGAGATGCGCTGTCTGCAAAGACAGATACAGATAGTTGTAACCCAAAGGAAACAACTCACCCGCATGGTCTGCCCTTTGCTGGCCAGCTCTCTAAATACTCCAGTGCCAGGGAACAAGAACAAGGGCCTGGACAGACTACGAATACTGCGCCTCCACCCTCCGCCCATGTGCCGTGCTAGCTTCTTCACCCTACCGGGCCGAGTCCTCTTGCAGGCCGCATGCCGCCCTGCTCGCCTGGCCCATCTGCAGCAACAGGCAACTCGCCACAACCGCCGAGGAGGACTGGGTCTGTCCTGTGCTGGGTTGCCCTTAAGCAAACTAATCCCAGCGTCCCCTCCCCTTGGGTTTGGCAGTCTTCCCACCTCACTGCCAAGCCCGTGCCCTGGCTGTCACTTGTACCAAGATGCACAGGCATCCCATGAGCTGTTTTATTTTTACACCGGGTTCACCCGAGCCTGCCTCCATAGTCCGGCAAAAAAGCCAGATGCCGCCTTAGGCAACGTTGCTGCCCATCTCTCCTGGGGCAACAGCCCCTTTGTCGCTTGGCAGGAAGCATCCTCTTCTCTTCTTCTTTCCATTGTGGCTGGATCTGTGGGAAAAAGCTGTCTCCATACAATATTTAAAACTCTCCAAATTGGAAAGCTTTAAATTTTCATAAACCAAAGTAACCGTCGTTCCGTTTTGAAACTGAAAACAGGGAAAGGGCCTCTCGCCCATCTTGAGACGCGAGATGCTCTGCCCCCCCACGGCGACAAGCCACACCTGGGCACAGGGATCAGGTATTAACCCTTCGCAGGCAGGCACTGCCATCAGTGGGGGAACACATCTGAACCCGAGGCTACAGCTGCTTTTTCCTCAGGTAGAGGAGCTGCATGAGGAAGAAATTACCCACAAATCAAGAGAGATGCCATTCAAGAATGAGCTGAGCAAGAACGCAGACTCAGTATAAAACAGGGCAGCAGAAATGCAAGTGAACCGACCTGTCAAGATGTGCTGACTCCGTTCCCATTGCTAGTCCACCTATCTCCTGCTGCTCACAGCCCCGTGCCTTTCTCCGGGCTGCTGATCCCTTGCAACCGAACGCCTCCTGCACGTGAAATGACCTTCGAACCCCTCTGTAATCTCGCTTCTTTGGTTAGCCTCCAACTACTTAGCTGGCACCTGCAAGTGCAGATACCACGGGGCAATGAGCAGAAATGCTTGCAGCATCAGACTGCGAGACGATAAGATGAACTAACTCAAAACATTCAAGTAGGGTGTGGGGCTAAATACCTGGGAGGACGCCGGTCACAATGCTGAGCTGAGCACCCCAAAACCCCTAAATTTAACATCAGGATTACCAAACGTCTGTCAAAGAAACCAAAAAGTTTGATGGGAAAATACAAGCGAGGAAGAAGGCCAGCAGGAAAAGCTAGACTTGTTTAAAACAAAGCCAGGCGTATCAGTGTTTCCTACAGAGCTGGGAAATCAAGACTGCAAACAGGCCCCACCGGAGGTGGCAGCATCTGGGTTCAGAGGAATGATTAACTCTAAAAGGTTGAGAGAAATCATGACAAGCGCTGAATGGCTTCTGGCCTCCATGGACCCCTCAGAATAAAAAAAACTGAACTGCAACCGATGCAAGGGGTCATCGGCCACGGCAGCACATTAAAGAGATGGATGAGAAGTCACCAAAGAAAAGAAAAAAGGCGGGGGGGGGGGGGGGGG